ACCTCACCAGATTTTCACAGAATATTAACAACTGCATTGGTGTGCATTTACTTTTCTGCCTTACTGTTGAGATTAACCAAATTTCCTATGTCTGTCTCTCTAATCCCTTCAAATGAAATGTGACTATGACAAAGAGTGTTCAGTATGCCAATCTTCCATTTCTTTAGATTTCTACATCGAGAGAAAAGTGCAGCAGATATTAGAAGTATGCCTCACCTGTAAAGTCAAATAAATGGGTAGAAAAATGCATTCTATCAGCAGGTTGTCCAAGATATATTTTTGGTATATCTTCCCTACGGTGCTCCGAAGAAGGAATTCCCAGAACTCCCTTCGCCAGGACTGAAACCTTGTAACCAGCATGAACTTTGAACTTAAGACTCTTTCCATCTCATTTTCTCACTAGATTTTATTGCATCTAACAAAACTTTCAGTGGTGAATTACTTCCCCTCTCAACAGTACCCCAGGCTCCCACAAAGCCTCCTTGATAGAAAATACTGAAATTGTTTCTCAAAAGGCATTAGTGCTTAGGGAGAAAAAGGGCAACCAGTTACTCCCCATATCAATGTTAATCCAGGGAATATACTTCAGCTTCTTCTCATTCCTGTCTAGCAAAGGAGATCATTCTGAGATGCCACTCAATTAAAACCAGAAGAGCACAGCAGGGACTGGGAGGTTATCTGGTTTAAACCCCTCATTTTTTAAAACAAATTACATCATTTACTCTCCATGTAAGTTTATATCTTTTATCCCCCCAGTGGCCCTTATTTTTTCACATATGTTTATTTTATTTTATTTTATTTTTAATTAGACACAAATAGGTATATAGATGTAAAATTATTCTATACAACTTCTATTTATCAGATGGATGCAGATAGCATCTTTCTTCATATGTCCTTTATAGTTCATTTGGATATTTATAATAGTCAAATAATAGTCAAAATCGATCAATGCCATTATAATTAGGTGCTACACTGTGTGAAAAAGCTAAGTAAAAGCTAGCAGACTTCAGAGAAGAAGTTTGAAAGGTAAAAGCAAGAGTGTTTAGGCCACAAGTTAAGAAGGCATAAGTTTTTTTTTCATTTTTATTATTATCTTTTGTTTTTGAATCATCTACATTTCCAATATAACATCCCACCCCCAAGCATCCCTTATAAAAAAGAATCAAAAGGGAGAGAGAAAAAAAGGAGAGGAGGGAGGAGAAAAAGAGAGAGAGGGAGAGAGAGAAAGAAAGAGAGAAAGAGAGATTCAGTAAAACTTACCTATACATCAACCACTTCATTGCATAAAGAGTTCCACGGGTATAATCTCCTGCCTCTGCAAAGATGAAAGGGAAGTGCCTCCTTATAACTCTTCTCTGGGACCATTTTTTCTAAAACTCTTCTCTGAAGCTATTTATTTTAACCAGGATTTTTACTGTAATTTAGCATTCAGTTTGGATAGTTTTGTTGCTGTGTGCTGGGTGTGGAGTCAGGCAAGACTGGAGTACAAATCTGGCCCCCGACACTTAGTAGTTGTGCGACCTAGGCAAGTCACTTAACCCATTTGCCTCGGTTTCCTCACAAGTAAAATGGAGATAATAACAGCACCTACTTCCCAAGGTTGTAATGAGGATCAAAAGAGATAGTATTCATAAAGTACGGTACCTAGCATATAATAAGTACTATGTAAATGCAAACTATTGTTACTATTATTATTGTTGTTGTCATATATAGTGTTTTCCTCATTCTTGTTTAATTTTGTATCAGCACATAAAAGTATTTCCAAGTTGGTCTGTATTTTCATTGAATTCATTTCTTATGGTGTAGTAATATTCTATTAGATTTGTGAAGCATCTTCTTTGTTCTTTGCTACTGTATCTCTGAGGATTCTTATTCCAACTCCCATTCTCACAGGGTGCCAGACAGGGCTGTACTGGAGCCAGCTCTAACTGGCTTCCCAAAGCTCATTGTTAAATTTTTTTGTGTAAACGTTCATACCTCAGAAATTGGCAATCACTACAAATCAGGGCTTGATTTATTATTTTATTGATTTCTAGACTTTAAAAAGTGTTAATAATGCAGAATAAACTTAAATGTGTTTGCCTACATTTTTTTCCTGAGGGCCTGGATGTTAAATATTTACTAGCACATCCCTGAATTGGTTTATAAACATTGCTTGAGCACAGCAGGACAGCAGCAGACCAGCTCATGGAGTGAAGTTATCACCAGCTTGGAAGCCTGGTGACTGGAAGTTAATGATAATAATAATAATAACATGATAGGCACTTATAGCACTTAGAGATTTGAAAAATACTTTACATTCGTTATCTCATTTGAGTCTCACAATACTCTTGGTGCCAGAGAATATTACATGTCCCTCTCAGAATTCTAGGGGTATACCAAAAGAATAAGGAGGGCTTCCTCCAAAATGATCAATTGAGAATAATTCTAGTCAAATAGCCTTAAGTAGATTTTAGAAACGAGTATTTACTAAGGAGAAAGAGTAAGGACAGTTGGTAGGAACCTCCCCTCCAAAAGCTTGTGACCCACTCTTCCACAAGTACATAGAGTGCAGAAAAAATGGGCTCAAGCTTGGAGAACACATGTGGCAAAGGCGTATGACACAGCTCCTGGCTGCTAGAAGTCTTCTTCTGCCCTTCATAAAGTGTTCAAGAAGGTTCCCTTAAGCACAGGATGGTTTCTTTGCTGGGATCCTTGTACAACTTGTTGCTGGTCCTTCTTGAAGAGGAGCAATGACATCACAAAGGTAATATCTTGACTTGCCCTTGAATTGGATTTAAGTGAGGTAGAGCTGCACAAACTCATCAGTCTCACTCTCTCCCCCAGACTCATTGGAGTCCAGTGACAAGACCTTGGCCTTTTTAAATGAAGGTCTTTCCCAGATGTCAGTTTAGGGCCAGTCTATTCTTGGCTCCCAAAGCAGGAGCTAGATTAACTGACCCAGAAATGATATAAGGACACAATGAGAACAGGGAAAGTCCAACATCCTTTGGACTTTTTGAAGCACACACGTTCATATTCCAACCAAAGAGAAGGAGACCAAGGCCAAGGCAGGAACCAGGGTTCCTCCTTTCCTCCAAAGAAATTATTTTTTACTGGACCTCTAGCCATTTGGTAGAGCTCTCCCCCTCCAGCTCTCTTGATGCTTTTATACAGGACCCAGAGAGTGTGGGAAAATCCATTAACCAACTGGAAGAGATTGACAATCATTTCATTTTATTCAATAGCTTTAAAAACTTCATACTTAGTCTATAGCCTATGATTGAGATTGAATGATCTACTGGGCATCTTATCACTTAAAGTAGAGTGGGTTAACTTGATTTCGATTTACTGATTAAACCACCTCACTTTTACCATACTAGGAAAAATGCTACTATAAATATTTTCATGTATATGTGACCTCCTTGTGGTATCTGTCTAGCAGTGGGATTTCTGGATCAGAGAATATTGAGGTTTTAATCACTTTCTTCGCATAATTCAGAAATATTGTTGAACCATAGCCAGTATTTTACCTTATATGTATTTATGAGAGGCAATGAGTGGCAAGGCTAGGAAACAGGCCTCAGAGCCAAGAAGCTTGTTTCAAGTTCTGCTTGTGACACACACCAGCCGTGTGACCAAGGGCAAGTCATCTTTTGTGCCCCGGGTGACTTCTTAAATTGAAGAGCAATTATTGATTGGCAGAGATAAAAACAGTTGCCTCTATTAATGAAATATCACACTTTGGAACCCTCTCTTCCCTTCATAACCTTGATGATTACAATCATTTACCAATCTCTAATTTCTTGTTAAGAATGACACAACTGTCATTGGGTGAGGCTTTTCTCCTCCACGTTCTCTCCTAATTTGCCTGTAGAAAAAAGAATTGGTATACCTTTGGGTTACCAGGCAAAAATGGGCCAGATATCACAAGGTGACACTGAAATTTTTTGAACAATAATATAGGATGATTACTGTGATTTGGCGCCTATCCTTCCATTCTTTTTGAACTGTTTTCTTTGCCCAACAGGTCATAAGCTTTGGGGGTGATTCATGCTTAAAAAAATGATATTGATTCTCAGCACTCCCCCCTCCAATCTATTTTCCTTTTGAGAAAAGTGGATTAGAACCAGAAGTTACATTCTCCATGTAATGAGGTTTGTTGAATTACTGAAAATAGTTCAGCATCCTTTCTCATTTGAGCCACTTAAACCCCAAATTGCCTTTTGAAACCCAAAACTTCCTCCCAGGAAAAGCTGGCCTTTGCATTTGCATGTACTGCCCTTAAGAAAGGACTTACTTTTTTTTTTTTTTTAATTTTCTGCATTAGAAGAGACTGAGGGCTTGTATTTCCCTCCCCTGCTGGAGTGAGGGCAGCCAACGTGGGCTAAATTAGGTTTGTTATAATGGGTTTTTACCTATAGGCAGGTCTGATCTTGTCTTTGAGTAACTTTAGACAAAGTTGAGAAACGGAACAAGGCTTTTCCCCGTCTCCATACTTGATCATATTCCAGGTCTTTCCGGAATAATGTCAGGTTCCATTCCCTAGCCTGGAAAAAGACAGTCTTGCTCAACACGGTTGTTCCGCGGGGCAAAAGAGCATACACTCTCATACTTCTTTAAGAGAGAAACTGAGATGATGTTATGTAATTAAATTTAGTGTTCTGAAAGTCCGCTATGGAGCGTCTAATCATGAAGACTTCCAGTATTCTCCGTGTGTGTGTGTGTGTGTGTGTGTGTGTGTGTGTGTGTGTGTATTTCATCGTCAATTCTTCCTGGTCCTGATTTTGCATTTCCAATGAAAGTAAATTGACAAAGCGTGGAAGTGGTCTAAAGAGAAAAACAAAGCAGCAAGCCTACCCTGAGAGTGCCAAGGCTAATCAATATTCCAGAAACCCTGGGGTTCTCCCCACCGTCTCCCCTCCTCTTCTGCGGTGTTTTCATCCTCCCCCACCCCCCACCCCCCAGCCCAGATCCCAGTCTCCTCCCCTTTTCTTAAGTTGCCCTGATAGTAAGTTGCTGTTTCAGAGCAGAGCACATGCAGAGTGTCAGCGCTAGCCTGGCCCTCTTTCCCTGCGTTTCGTTAGCCGCCGCTGTACCTGCTGAGGGATTTTACCTTGTCCCTTGCCTGCTGGGGCTCCAAACCACTGCAGAATCTGAAAAGGTAAGTTTAACACCTATAACTCTTGCCCGGTTTCGTTTTTCATCCTCTGGCTTTGTCAAAGTGTTTTGTTTTCCGAGGCAAAGGAGTTGGGAGAGTGAGCTAGCTAGCCATTTTGGTAGATAAAGTGCATGCTTAGTATTTGAACGTCGTTCCAATCGCTTATTCAGTGAGATTCCAATCGCCTCTCCTAGTCTGGATTTATCATTCAGGCCAGGCTGGTGGCAGATTGTGGCCAAAGATATGGTAAGGTAACCAAGATGAGTTGATCAGTTGTAAAATTATTGAGAATGAGATTCTTGCTAAGTAAAAAAATCTGTTCGCTTTCTTCTCCCCCTCACCCCACCCCCAAGCGACGCGTTTATCCGGTACTTTTAAACGTGATCGGGCATAGTCATCCTTCCCCCCCCCCCCATATACTCACACCTGCAATCTTATTTAAAAGTCCAAACTTATGGACAGCTGTCTTTTCCACACTTCTTTTTCGCTTCTGAAGAATCCCTCAATTTACATCCCCCTGACTATATGCAGTATCATCCTCAGACGTCCACAGATGCTTCCAATTCTGATTTTGATTCATCCTGGCAAGGATCTGCTATGAATTGGAAATATCATAGGGCAGTGACATGGAGCCCTGGACTATCAGAACAACTAACTTCCACCTAGGAAAGAGGTTTTTGCCTAATTTCTTTTTTGAATGATCAGTACATGAATAGACCTAGAAACTATGATAATGTTTGGAATGAAAATTAGATTAACCTCCTCATGAAGTCCAAATAACAAAGAAAAGCATTTGGAGAGCCCCAAACTAAGCAAATCAATGATAAAATGTCCACATTGGTATATTTTTATGCAATCAGAGACAAATGCTACTTTCTAGTTTGTTGTTGTAATAAGTGAAAATGAATTCTAGCCTCTGATACTTTACAGATGTGCTCAGAGTACTTTACACTTTTTTATGGAAAAAAAATAGTTACCCATATAAAACTGCCAAATCTATTTACTTGGTATAATATGCATTCAATAAAGTAGTAACCTCTCTGTCTCTCTCTCTCTCTGTCTCTCTCTCTCTCTCTCTCTCTCTCTCTCCATATTTATTATTTGAAACAAATATTCTTTTTCTCAATAAAAAGTAAGCCAATGTACTTAATTTATGTAGCAGAAAGACCGTGACTTCTGCATATTTAAATCTTGTGGCATTTTATATTGGAATACATACATCTGTAGTATGTGCACAAAATAAGTCTTCAAACGTTTATCAGGCACCTCTTATATACCATGGCAGGATAAGAAAGAAATAGAAAAAAAAAAAAAAAACAGTGCCTGCCAGCATCACCTAGATTTTCACACATGCACTCAAGCAAAATATGTGCAGTCTATTCTTGAAGCCTGGCACCGGAGAAGTGTTGCTGCTTCTTAGCACTAGGCTCTCTCCCACTCCAGACAATGTTGTGCAATGTTATTTACAGATGGGCCAGTAGTAGCTCTGATTGATCATTCCTGGAGTGTATGACAGAGTTCTGTGCCTCTTGTGTTCCAGCTGTGCTGTCTGGTACTAAGGAAGACAAGCACCTTGGGTTTCTCTGGAGAGGAGATTTGGCAGTTCTGATAAACGTTCATAGAAGACAGCACTCCCTGAAGCTCGATGACTAAAAGTAATGGAGAAGAGCACCGGCTGGGGGGTAGAATGGAGCGGTTCCAGCAAGGAGTCCGAAAACGGACACTCTTGGCTAAGAAGAAAGTACAGAGCATCACAAAGGAGGATGTTAAAAGTTATCTATTTCGGAATGCCTTTGTTCTCCTCACTGTCACCGCTGTCATTGTGGGTAAGTCATTGGATCCCAGAAGCATATCTTGTTTCTCTAGGGCATCTGGCAGCCCAGGAAAGTTATCAGATGGGCTAATTGTGAGTGATTGGAAGGCTATCTCCAGTTTTCTTCTAGATTTGCAGACATTTATAACAGGACAGTTTGTTGGCCTGTTTGGGGTGATATATGGTACACATGTGGAAATCTACTGGAAGCATCATTAAATGTTTTACAAAGCCATAGTTCATATAGAGAAAAGAAAGTATTTCAGAGGCAAGTGAGTGAAATATGGAAAAGTGCTAGATAAATGATAAAAAGCTATGCAAATGTACAGAATTGTTATCATCATTATGACTATTCAGAATGGAACTATAACTATTAGACAGGAGCAACATTTTTAAAAAACAAACTGGATTCTGCCAAAATGCAATTACCATACGCTGTCACTTCCACTTAAAGAAGATGTGCAATTAGCCTGTCAAAAAGGAGAGATACAGGTCTCCAATGTTAATTATAGGGTCATTTGCTGCTGAGCAAAAGCCAGATATCAAAGCGGAGCACCCAAAGGGCTGCAAAAGCTGAATGGAAAAAATGCTTTTATTTTGTTGAATGCTTTCCCTTGCACACAGGGCTCTTTCATTCTCATCTTTACAAAACTTGTTAGAAGCCTTTCTGTACTTCTAAACTTAAGGAAACTTTTCAAGCTATTATCAATTCTGCATTGTTGGAAGCCTGTGGATACTAATTTGTATTAATGAAATGTTATCATTTTACTTGACTGAAGTTCTACAAAGTTTTCCTTTGTAACTTCTAAGAGGCATTAAGATCCTACTCAAAAAAAGGCACTATCATATTTTCATATTTAGCATTTTTCCTAGACCAAAATATAAACTTTAAATTAGCTGTTTAAAAAGAAATGTCCCAAGTTTCAATAACTTCCCATCAAATAACAATAAATGAAATTTTGCTAAAATATCACTATGAAGAATTTCATCACAGTTATGAACACAAGCTTAGCATTTGCCGTGATTTTGGCTTATAGATAATTAATAACTGGTCATCTATAAATTGGTGAAATCCAGCAGACCACAAACACAAATAAAATATCCACCAACAAACAATACAAAACCAAGTTGCTCTAGTTACGAAATGAAATCTAAGTGAAAGTCATTAGCCATGACAAAAATTTGAGCAAATAGACTTCGATAGTACTGGCTGTGGTGCCAATTCCTAATTGTTTCATTGGTTGGTTGGTTGATCATAGGATTATGGATTCAGAGCTGGAAGGGTCCTTAGAAGATATCAGGTCCCACCCTTTTATTTTACAGAAGAGGAAATTGCAGTCTAGAGTTGTTAAGTGACAAGTCAATTAATGTCTAAAGTGCTATTCAAACTCAGGTCTTGAAGCCAGGTCCAAGCCCATGGTTCTATCAATTATGGCATACTTTCATGAATTTGGAGCTAGTCAAAGAAGAGATATCCATACTGGGCCAGGGAATTGATAATGGGATCATAAAACTTTCCTTGGTAGCTTAAACAGAAGAAGAATCTGAAAGCTTTTCCTATTTCATAGATATCAGTGGATTATTTGAAATATATTACTTTTTGTTACAAAACCCATTTTAGATAGTCTAAATAATGCTTAAGATCTTGTGAGAAATGTTAGAGAGAGAAGACAGAAGAAAGAGTAGAGAAGAGGAGAGAAAAGAAGAGAGGAGAGGAGAGAAGAGAAAAGAAGAAAAGGGAAGGGAAGGGAAGAGAAGAGTAGATTTTTCTAGACTTCTTAATAGAGTCCCATTGCCAATGATGGATAAATTTATATAGTACCCACCCTAGCTAGAACTTGTACAGTGGATCAGTAAATAACTATTATTTTTCTAAGCAGAAACTCTGCTACCTCTCTAGTAGTAAAGTCACTAAAGTGTCTTTTGTGTATGTTGTATAATAATTCAAGACCACTAGTTTTTCTTGTTGGCCATTTTCTCTTAGGAAAGAAGTGGAGAAGCCCATTAAAAAATGGAGTCTTCAGAGGGGTATTGTTTGTAGAATAGACTTGTTTGTGAGAAAGCCTGAATGAAGAGAAGTGATGTGGAGGCCAAAGAGAAAGTAGAATATTGTAGAAGGTTCCCAAGAAGTCAGTGAAAAGAACTAAGATCACTAATGAAAGGAAGACGATGCCAGTATTTAAAGGCCCAGTTACCATATTGGCGTTCTGATCCTCTCAAAGTGCAACTGAAGTTGCCAGGGGTGCCTTTCCTAAGAGCTGTGGGAAATGAGCTGAGAAAGATAACTTGGCTTAAAGCCTGTTTCATTGCCTTTGCTGACAGACATCCAATGGTAGGGGTGACAACAAGAAGACATTGACAAAGAGGGAAAATAAAAGACCTTACTGACAGTCAGGGAAACCATTTGGATTCTGCATCAACAATGTGTATAGTCAAATGGATGATTCAATAAGTCACCAAGAGAAAAGGAAGAGCCTTCTCATTAGGTGTGCTTTCCACTAAGGCACTTGTGTGAACAAAACCTGCATATATCTTATCACTGGGATGCATATGTACATTTATCAGCACCCCCACCACCCCAAGAAAGGGAGAAAGAACAAACCAGGATATTGTATTTGTTTGTTTGTTTGTTTTCGATTTGATTTCTATCACATAGGAAGATATAAAGACAATGGGACAGGTGCTAGAAAAGAATGAAGCCAAGGAAAAGTTATTCTCCCCAACTGAGGAGGCAAGTTCTGATTAATATTTGTCATTTTTAAACATTCAGGATACTTTTGGTAAAAATTACTGAGGACAACATTTGACACTTACTAGCTGTGTGACCCTGGGCAAGTCACTTAACCCCAATTGCCTAAAAAAAAAAAAAAAGAAAAATTACTGAGAATGAAATGTCTTCTTGTTGGTTTTTTGGTAGAAGGATTATGGAATTTTAAAGTAGAGAAATACCTTAGAAATCATTACCTAATTCTCTCATTTTGCAGATGAGGAGACCAAAACCCATACAGGTAAAGTGATTATGCCATGATTACACACATACTTAGTAAAAGGGCTGGGATCTGAACCTAGGTACTTAGACTCCAAATTCTATACAATAAATACACACTCAAAATATACATTCCATCTATGAAGCTGGGGGGTGGTATATAACTTTAATTTGTGCAATGAGGAGCACAGTTGCTGAAAAAGCACAAAACTATGACTGTTTTAGTGCTATTTCCTCCATGAGGCCTGGCCAAATTTTAGCCTGCCAATTTGACAAAATCTTTTATGGTAGGAAAGTCGTCTACACTATCTCCTAAATCTTCCATACACCAAGAGAGGAAGCAAGTTTTTCATGGATAGTGGACTGACCACAGAGGCAGAAAGACCTGGGTTCAAATCCTGCTTCAGGAATGAACTTTGTGTGTGACTATGGGTGAGTTATGTAATCTCTTTCTGCCCCAGGCAATATTCTAAGACTGACTACCTTATGGACCAATTACCATTTGGAATTTCTGGAATAGGTACTAGGAAGTCCCACCTACACTATGGATGAAAACAGGTCCAGACCAAAAAAGAAAGAAAAAAAAAAACAAAAGAAACTTATTCTAGGCGTTATGAAATACGGTAGCAGCAGATACAGAAACTAAGGGCCAAGCTAAACATTAAATAGCTTTGGTGGGATCTGTTGTCACAACAGTGGAGCTGCAGGAGCTGTTAAGTGATCTGGGTTTCCCAAACCATCAATACAAAGATATTATTGCCCTCCATTCCTCCAGGAAGACTTTCCTTGTTTCAGAGGGATTTGAGTCTTGTAGAGATGGTCCTGGGAACCAGGCAACTTAACTTGAGGAGAAGATAAATCCCTTGTCTCACTAAAGTTCTTGTCTTTTGTGAATATAGGGAATTCTCAGACTCTAGGTAAATATTTCATGGGATCGGCTGGAGTGATAGAGTGTGTTGTTGTTTGTCTTTTGTTCCATGACATCAGGAAGGTGATACCATGTCTTGCAAGTGAGTTGGGTTTAAGTGAAGGAGGGCAAAGTCACCAGCCTCACTTTCTCCTCCAGAGCCATCTGGGTCCAGTGGCAAGATATAGATCAGGATGACTGGAGATGGCCCTCTGATGGAGTATGCATGGAGCATGGGGCAACATTGGCTCAATCACTGCTTGAATTATCAGCCCTTCTCAGGTACTTCATCAGTGTAGAACAAGTTCTAAGACCTTCAGCAAGTTTCCACAGAGGCACTTTAAGAGAAGGGATGTTAAAAAATGTTTTAAAGAAGAATTGATGGGATCTTCTTCATCTGTATATATCTCGAACGTACATAGTTACTTGCATGTCATTGGTCCCATTTGAATGTGAGCTCCTTGAGAGCAGGGACCATGTTTTTGCCTTTCTTTGTATCTTAAGCACTTAACATAGTTCTAGAACATAGTAAGCATTTAACAATTGTTTACTAACTGACAGAGGCAGACTCTAAAGGAAAAAGCAAAAAGGCCAAATTGTCTGGATTATAGAGTGTGGGAAAGGAAGTAATATATAAAAAGTTGGAAAAGTAGGTTGGAGCCAGTTGGGAAGTCAACAAGTCAAGTCAACAAACAATAAAATATTGTCAGGAAGGAGTTTAAGTTTAAGAGACATCCATCACTCATTGGTAGCAAATTGGTTTCATAAGTTGTTTCTATAAACAGTGAACCTGGTGATCCCAGTGTATAAGATACTCCATAATTATAAGTTGGATTCCTGAGGGAACTGCATTGACCCTGGCTAACTCTTACATATTTCAGGACCTGAAATTTCATTAATGTAGGTATTCCCTCCATTGTCACAGTTCATAACCCCTTTATAAATTAGCAAATGGCTTTCTACTGTTGTTTCAGCTGAAAAAATTATCACCCTGCAACCAATCTGGTGATAAACCTCCCCAGACTTAGCTAGGAAGGTTCCTGAACAATAAACATAATAGTGTATCTATCAGTCAGTCAACAATCATTTAGTAAGCACTTATTCCGTGCCAGACACTGCT